TTACTGCCCCAACTTTTCTGAGCTTAATGACACTGAATTCATAGGGCAGGACTGGCTTCTGCCTGTACAAACCTTGCCAATGTGCTGCCTGGCATCCAGAGTAGAGAGGTGCCAGATGTAAAGCCCATAGCTGGAATGAGGACATGCTTGGCTCCATCTGCCATATGCTTAGAGATTGGCTTATATCCTGTGAGCAGGCCTGCCCAGCTGGCTTTTGGAACCTGGAAGAAGAGGCACACAGAACATTATAGGAGGGCAGGAAAGTGAGTTGGGAAAGAAGAGAGTGGGTGGAAGGAGATTAGCTGTTGAGAAGGAGCCTCTTGGCTCTGGGATGGCTGTAGTTAAGTTGCCAGGCCAAAAGAGCAGGTGGAAAGATTAAGGTGGAGGATGGGCTGCTGTGGGAAGACACAGAGTATTAGGGAGCCAAGATCATGAACCCACCAGGATGTTCCTACTGTGGGCTTGACAGATGGTGGCTTTGCTGTTCACTGCAGCCCTCTTAAAAGCAGAGCCAAACACAGAGTTGAGAGCCAGGTAGCAATTATCTTTTCCCAACATCTTTTCCTATCACTTGAGGGTTAAGGAAGGAAACAGAGGGGCCAATGAGTCACTTGTCAGATGTGACCCCTGAGTCAGTACTGTTGCCTATTCCTATCAAGGCTTGTTTCTTAGCTACTCTTACAACTTATAGCATTTGTCCGAAATACAATTTAGGAATCTGGCCCTGAAGATGAGTGTGGAGGGCAGAAGAGAGAGAAGGGGATGGTAGCCAAGTTAGGAGTAAATCCTTGGAACATGAAACCAAGAATCAACAAGTATTTATTGAGCTTGTACTACGTGCCAGGTACTCTACTCAATTAGGTGCTGGGTCTACAAAGACAAAAATCAAACAGCCCCTGACCTCAAAGAGCATATATCTCATTGGAAATAGGATGGGGAAGCAAAAGTACACAGAAAACTGTATCAAAATATATTCGTGTAGCAGGGTGTTGGATTGGAGCACTTCCCCTGGAGCTGGATATGCATGCTTTGGCTCCATGAAGAGGCGTTTGCATTCGTCCCCTTCCCTACAGACAGAATTCACACAAAATTATTTCTAGGAAAGAGAACAAATAACTGAGGACATCAGGCCTCATATAGGAAATTATCACCTAAACTGCAAGAGGAAACTAGAGGTCCCAAGAGGCAGAGCCAAGCAGGGACAGATTCCAGAGAGTGAGGATAACTGGGAAAGGCAAAAAAAAAAAAAAAAAGGAGATAGAAAGGTGTGTACTGGGAAAAGCAAATTGGTTGATTTAGCTGGCACAAAAAGTATGTGAGGGGTAGGGGTATTTAATGAGTGATTGATCAGGAAATCTAACCAGATATTCCATAACATTTTGAGACTGTAGTAGCAGTAGTAGTAGTAGTAGTAGTAGTAGTAGTAGTAGTAGTAGTAGTAGTAGTAGTAGTAGTAACAACATTTATATAGCTCCTTAAGGCTTGCAAAGTGTTTCATATCTATTATCTCACTTAATCCTCACAACAGCCCTATGATAAAGGTGCTATTATTATTATTAACCCCACTTTACAGAGGAGGAAACTGAGGCTGAGAAAGGTTAATTGACTTGCTCAGGGTCACACAACTAGCAAGTGTCTAAGGTAGATAGATCTTCTTGATTCTAGGTCCAATGTTCTCTCTGGTGTGCCATATTGCCTCTCAACTTAAAGAACTGTCTTTCTGCTCTTCACAGTCATCCTAACTCAAGGCCTGTTTTTTGACTTTCAGTTGGAACAGACTAAATAAAATAAGTAGGCTGGCCCTTGACCTTTGACTCTGATCTGCCGAGTGCTTGAAGTTACTGTTTTTCATTTTGTGATGGAGTTTGTTTCATCAGTGGCAGAGCAGCCTTAGGCATCAGAAAGATGAGGTCAGAATTTAGCAACTGGGGTATATAAGAACAACAGAGTCTGCAAGATGTTGAGTTCTACACTGTTCTTTTGAAAAAGACAATTTGTCTATTGGAAGCTCGAATCATTTCAGGTGTTTCAAAAGAAGGAGGTATAACATGGCAGCACTTCATTTATCTGGAGATCATTTATCTGGTAACCTCAATGTTCAGAACATTCAGAAAAAAGAATTCTGAATAGCTTAAAAAAAAAAAAAAGGTTACAGAGTCTAAGCTGTTGTACCCGGTTTCAGGGGCTTATTTTTAGAGGATATAGAAGTGATCAAGCAGTCTGTTCTTTCTGCAGCATTTATTAGCAAATACTTTCTAAAAGGATAATTATATTGTAGCTTTGTCAGAGCAATGAAAAAAAAATCATCATAAAACACATATCTTGGTAAAACTTTTTGAAGTTAGTTCATTCATTCAACAATCATTAATTTAGTGCCTACCATGTGCCCATATTATACTAAGCACTGGGCATACAGAAATAAAAGCAGTCCCTACCCTCAAGGAGCTTACATTCGGGGGGGGGTAAACGACTTGCACACAGATGAGTAAATACAAAAATATCCAAACTAAATACAAATATTGATGAAGGAGAGGCCCCTAAAAAGAAGGGCTTGTATAGGAGGTGGCACTTTGAGCTTAGCCCAGAAAAGAGCATCCGAGAGATGGAAGTGAAGGTGGAGAATATCCCAAGTGGGATGACTCCTAAGTTGTGAACCTGGGTGACCACGGTTCATAGTTCTTGACAGGGAAAGTCATGAGGAATGATTGGTATTTATGGCAAGATGAGTTTTATTTGGGGCGTGTTGAGTTTGAGACACCTGTGGGACATCAGGTGGAGGTGTACATCAGATTGTTGAACGTGTGGGACTGTGCTTGGGATGAAGGTTGACTCTATAGATTTGGGAGTGCTGTGCATAAAGAAGATAATTGAGCCATTGGGAGTTCAGTGGGATCAATGAGAGAGTGTATAGAGAAAGAAGAGAAGTGGACCCAGGCTGGAGCTTTGAGGAAGCTCAATGGGTTAGGAGGTGTTGACCTAAAGGAACCTGAGAAAGGACAGTCCATACGGATAGGAGAGAAGCAAAGCAAGAATAGTATGATAAAACCTAGGGAGGAGAGAGTGTCCAGAAGGGAGTCAACAGTATTACTGAAGAGAGATCTAAAAGGATGAAGAATGAGCAAAGAGCACTGGATTTAGTTAGTAACAAGGAGAGCTCTATTAACTTTGTAGAGAGCAATTGAGTAAAGAAGTTGGAAGCTGGACTACACGACTTATGACCTGAGAGGGGTATGAGAAAATGGGAGCAATAAGGATAAACGCCTTTTTTCTAGGAATTTCATCTATGCCCTCTATCTCTCAGTTTATAAGGAGGGACAAATGATATAATAGGTAACTAGGTGGTATAGTTGGTAGACTTAGAGTCAAGAAAACCTGAGTTTAGAATGCCATCTTACACACTTACTAGCTATGTGACCCTTGGCAAGTCTTTCCCAGCCTCAGTATCCTCATCTTCAAAATGAGGATAATAATAGCACCTAACTCACAAGGTTGTTATGAGTCTCAAATGAGATAGTGTATTTAATGCACATTACAAAGCTTAAAGCGCTACGTAGGTGAAAGTGGTTAGGAAGGTAATAAAGCACTGTACATTTGTATGGTGTGGATTCAGCTGTCACAAGTGCCTGCTGCTGAGAGGACTTCCCAGGACCAGCAATTCAAGAATCTCGTGTTGTGCGGCTTAGGGTGTTAGGGTGAAGCAAGGTAAACAAGCAGCCTTAGGTGGAACAAGAAATCTAAGTTTATTCAAGGGTCTTATCTATTATATCACATCTGGCTTGCCTCAAAAGCTTGCTCACTCTACCTACATTACAGTTGGTGTACAGACCCTTGAAGGCTGGGAAGAAATGTGAAGCATGGCTACATGTGTTCAAATCCTGCCTTAAAACTTATTGTTTATGTGACCATACCCAACAGGCCTAATCTCTGTGAGCCTCAGTTTTCTATCTATAAAGTGGGGATATTACTGCCTACAGTATTTGCCACACAGAGATGTTGTGGGGACCAAATGAGATATTGTACATAAGAGTACTTTGTGAACCTTAAAGCATGATATGAACGTCAGTTATCATTATTATCATTATTATTTCACAGCCTTATTTGATGACACGATGCAGAATTTAGGTGCCATTTACATGTATTTTTTTTTTTGCATTTGCTGACACAGAATCACCCCTTAGCTTAGATGTTGATTTTTGATCTACCTGCAAGCCATCAGAGGGCACAAGTCACTACCTCAGAACACTGCTGAGTCGAGGCCCTGTGGTCAAGTTCCCTAGTGGGGCACTGTGTACATCCTCTGCCCTGCTTGAGCTCTCTACTCTGGGGTGACCCTGACGGAAGGCTGGGGAGCACTAACAGAACCTTAGCTCGGAACACTGTGTCTCAGCAGTAGGGCCCATTAGAAGTGAAATGTTCTTCGTGGGGCATTTTATTTGCACACTCCAGTAGAGTGGACACTAAAAGGGTTTTCTAACGCTTCATGGGCTGCTAATTTCCTCAGTGACCCTTTTTGTTGGGACCTGACCCCAGCCAGAGGCTCTATGCGATGAATGCCAGCGCCTGACACAGAACCTGGGTGAGGGGTGACAATGAGGCCTCTATTGGCTTTAATCAGGCTCCAGTTGCATCTTAAGAACAGGGGGAATTTGTGTGGCTCTCAAAAGCCCTGGGTGGCGCAATAATGGAGGCCCCCGGGTCTCCCATGGAGGCCAAGGCAGCCCTCAGACAGCAGCTAAAGGATTCTTGAAGCAGGAGGGAGGTGGGAGGTGTCAGGCGGGCAAGCAGGCGGGGGCTCCTTTGTCAAAAGGGTCTCTTTAGAAAACCAGACCTGCTCTGAATGCCTCCCAAGCTCTATTGGGCAGCCCAATCGGGCCTGACAGATGGATATCACAGGCACACTGCTTATTCAGGGAGCTGGAGCCTCCCTGCCCCTGCCCCAGCCTGCCTATTCATCACCAGGCTAATTAGTTTTTGTCTGTGCTCTCTCTCCTCCCCTGCAGACTGTGATTCCTACTGCAAGGCCTCCAAAGGGAAGCTGAAGATTAACATGAAAAAGTATTGCAAGAAGGACTATGGTGAGTCACAGTGTTTCTCTCCTAGGGAAGAAAAAAAGTGCAATCCTACGGGGGGAGGGGACAAGGAAGGAAGGGAGAGGGAAGGAGGGAGGGAGAGAGATAGAAAGGGAGAGGGGCAGGGAGGGAGAGAGGGGGGAGGCAGAAAGGGAGGGAGAGAGAGAGAGAGAAGAGAGAGAGAGAGAGAGAGAGAGAGAGAGAGAGAGAGAGAGAGAGAGAGAGAGAAAGTGTTAGTAAGAAAGAGTGTGTGCGTGGGTTCCTGCGTGTGTACATGTAAAGGTCTGTATGCCCATGGTAGGAACAGACACATTCACTTGGTGGGCATTAGGTGCTGATGGGGCACCCCAGAATTTCTGTGCAGCTCTTTTGAGATTGCGGAATTTCTTTCTCCAGACACTAGGGAAGGACTTGAAGGGGCCTGATCCTACAAGGTCCCCTTTCCCTCAGGTGGGTCACAGGTATGCGGAGCAATCTGGACCATAGGGCTGAGACTCTCCCCAACATACCACCTGGCCTTTGAGTACTTCCCCCTGAATTTAGGCTGTATGGTATTCATGTGTTTAGAGGTTTCCCCAGAACTTCCTCCTTCTGGTGGTCCAAACCACTGACCAGTGCGGAGTAGTAGAAAGAGTTCTGGACCTGAAGCCGTAGTCCAATTCCCGTTCTGTTTCTATTGTAACTTGTTGTTTTATCTCAGAAAAATCACTTTATTTCTGTGGGCATCTGTTTTCACGTCTGTAAAATGAGGAAGTTAGACTAGATGAGTCCCTGAGGTAGGTCTCTTCTAGCTTGACACTATATAATTACTATGTAATTATAATTATAATTGACACTATATAATTCTATGATCCTGGGGCAGCTAGGTGGAGTAGTGGATAGAGCACCGGCCCTGAAGTCAGGAGGATCTGAGTTCAAATCCAGCCTCAGACCAAACACTTGACACTAGCTGTGTGACCCTGGGCAAGTCACTTAACCCCAATTGCCCCAAGAAAGAAAAAATTTTTTTTAAATTCTGTGATCCTGACACAATCCCTGTAGAGAAAAGACCTGATGCTTGGGGGGAGGGGGGGAAGAATTTTAGATTTGGCACCCAAAGACCTAGTTTGTTTCCCAGCTAACCTAGGGCAAGTCACTAAGCCTCTCTAGGCCTCAGTTTCTTCATTTGTAAAGCAAGGGGGCTGGGCTGGATGGCCTTTGAGCCCTCTTCCACATGTAGGATCCAGTGATACTGAAGGATTGAGGTACTCTCTGAGGTCCCCTCCTACAGTGACATTCTGTGATCGCATGAATCTCCTATTCTGCAGAGGTTGATACAGAGGATAAGTAAAGGTTCATAGATCATGGATTTAAGATCAGAAGGAAACTTGGAGGTCATCTACTCCAGCCCTTTCATTTTCAAGAAGAGGAAACAGAGTGGCCACTGTCTGTGGCCACACTAAGTGTCAGGGGCAAGATCCCAAGCCAGATCTTCCTGGCTCCAAGTCAGGCATTGTACCCACTCGATCAAGATGCTTCTTGCTCAGGCCACTAATTCCATTCCTTATCATTTAGAAGAATCCTAAAACACTTCAAGTGCAAGATGGACTGAGGTAGACTGACGTGTCTTCTGAGATACTGAAGATAAGCATGACCACAGCTAGGGCCCTCCCCTGCTTTCCTTTGCTTCTGTTCTCCTTTAATTATTGGAAGCCCAATACTGCCCAGCACTGTACTGGGAAACGAGGTAGAAGAGAGAGAATGGAAAACAAGTCCGCTTCGCTTTCAGGAGCCCTTAATTTTAGCTAGAAGAATAAAATATATAAATATATCTATGTGTGTGTGTGTGTGTGTGTATACATGTATGTATATGTGTGCATATGTATGTGTATACAAATACACACATACACACACATGCACGCACACACACACCAAACTGTGGAGAAAGCCTGGGCCTAGAATCAGGAAGACTTGAATTCAAATATGGCCTCAGAAACTTATTAGTGCTGGACAGGTCACCTAATGTCTATTTGCTTCAGTGTCCTTATCTGTAAAATGGGGATAATAATAACACCTACCTCCCAGGGTTGTTATGAGGAGCATATGAAATAGTAATTATAAAGCATTTAGCACGGTGTGATTGTATGCATTTAGTTAGTGCTAAGGGCAGATACCCCAAGAGAGTGACTAGAGTGAGGGGGCCTATTTAGCAAATCTTACTGGGGGACAGGGACCATGAAAGAACTGATGAACATTGACTGAGAAAGAGGAACAGGGAAAGCATTTAGAATTATGCCGAGAAAAGCCATAGAATATTAGCACTTGAATAGATCTATGAGGTCATCTAGTCTATACATTTTATACGGAAGGAAGCTGATACACAGAGAAGGGGAGAGACTTTCCCAGTGTCCCAGAATCAAGAGTGGCACCTCGGTCTCCTGATTCCTAGACTAGTGCTGCCCCTTATTGTACCATGTGTGTGTGATGACTGTCAGATAGTCACCCCTACCAGAATCAAGGATTCAGTGCTAGAAAGTATAGTAAGGAGAATTTAAATTCAGTCCAAAAAGTCAAGATTAACGCTGTCTCATGATTAGACTGGCCTCTTGCAGCATGAAACCCAGGACCCAATTCCTCATAGGACCTTTTATATTTGTCTTCCCCCAAGACTCAGACACAAGAAAAAGTGGAGGCTTCTCTGGCTGGCAGATCAAGCCAGCTGTGTCTCTAGGCTTCAGACTAACTTAGAAGCCTGAGTTCTAGATTCCTAGAAAAGATAGTACCCTCCCCTTCTAAGCCTCAAACTTTACAAAGTATGCACCTCGGTGCTCGCTGTTCTGGTTATCTTCCTTTCATCTTTCCACCTCTGGTATAAGGAATCCCATTTTACCCCTGCTAGAAGTTGTGACCATAATCCCGATCAGCCTGTGCAGGATAGAGCCAAAAGCTCAGTCCAAGGCCAAGAAGGCAAAAGGAAGGCATATATGAGTTGGGAAAAGGAGAGAGAAAGGAAGCAAAGGAAAAAGGAGGCTAAAGGAGAGGGAGAAAGAAGAGAGACAGTGCGGGATGGCAAGAAAATAGAGGGGGGGGGAGGGAGAAAGAGAGACAGGGAAAGAAAGAGAAGGAGAAAAGGAGACCTGTCAGCACCCAGGCCAGGTGGCCTAATTGTTCAGCATCCCTCGTCCACACACACACACACCCCCACCAAGATTTTCAGCAGCCCCTCACCCCACCCCAGCTGGGACCCAGATGTCTGGCAGCCCTACCGTGTAACCCAGGGCCTCTGTTTTGCTGTTGACCCAGACCCCAGATCCTGACTGAGTCAGCTGCTTAAAGCACAAGATTTTTATTTGAAAAAAGGACTCAGAACCATGAAATAAATGACAGTGCCCAAAGGAACCCACAGGAATTCAGGAAACTAAAACAACTTTAAAAATCTTACCCAGGTTTTATTCTTTTGTGGGTTTGTTTTTGTTTTGTTTTTTATATTTAAGCAGAGTGGGATACAACTAAAGCAAACAGACCAAATCTTCTCATCCAGCAGCCCAGACCAGTCTCCTAAACAACAGAGATAAAGCCAATTGACAGCTTTTGAATGTCAGTTCCAAAGTTGTAGCCATAGGCATGTAAGTTCAAGTTATCTCCAAGTTCAAATAAATTCCGAAAAGCTCAGGCTCATTTCTTCACACAGACAGTGCAAAACCTTCAGACTTCCATGGGAAAAATAAACCTTTATTTCAAAACAAACTTTGAAGTTGTTTAAAGAAAGAAGAAGAGCTATTTGCTGAGCCCATGCTGAAACAGTGGGAAAAGGCTGCAAGGTTATTCTGAAATACTCTTCTGGAGAGCTTCTTGGCATCTGCAGAGATTGTGAGAAGACCTTCTCCCGCTCTTTCCTTCCCCTCCTCCTCTCCAGCCCCTGCCATCCCACTGCCTTAGGAATAAATAAGAAAATAATCAGGTCTGAAGTTGCCCTAGCTAATTCTTCTGTGTTACTGGTCTGGTCTAGTCTTTTGGAACTCGGGGGAAGGGCTTCAAATGTGTAGTTGCTGTGAATTCCCCAGTTACTTCTGGGTAACAGTTTGCAGTTATGTAAGGTGGACATCATCTTGAGCACAAGAACCATAATGGATACTTGGCATTATACCACTTCGGGGGAAAAGTGGTGGTATTGACCCTAAAAAGTCAGTTTATGCAGAAGCAAATTTTTGTTGTTTGTTTTTGGAAACAATTGGAGTTCAGTGATTTGCCTAGGGTCACACAGCTAGTAAGAGTCTGAGACTGTATTTGAACTCAGGTCTCCTGACTCCAGGGCCAGTGCTCTATCTACTGTACCACCTAGCTACTCCTACAGAAGCAATTTATACAGGTCAGCTAACTCATTCATTCTTCTGATTCCTCCATCATTCCTGACTTCTTCATCATCTAGTCCAGTGGTTCCCAACATTTTTGTTCCTTTGAACCTCTTTCAGCAAAAAAAAAAAAAATGTGGTCAAAACTCCAGAGCAATTTAACATACTACTCAGTATTCTTTTAGATTTATTCATTACATGCTTCCAGTAGTTACAATGATACATTTTGCCCCCAAAAGTTCCAAATTAAAATTTACATTATATAATTATAATTATCAAATATAAAATTTTATTCTATCTATAATTATGAAAACTTTAAATGTAGAATTATAAAACTAATTATAAAATAATTACAAATATTTTATGTGGAACATTCTGTAATGATTAAAAGAAATATTTTAGCAAGACCTCATATGTTTACTATTATCTGCAATACTTCAAATTACATTTATATAGTTTACAAATTTCATTGAGCATATATGTATATATACATATATATATATAAACATTTTAATGAAATAAGTTAGATCTTGGAAGAGAATTAACATAATACAATAATCAAAATACTTTCATTGTTGGACTTTTATTTGACTTTTTAAAATTTGGGCCTTTTTTTATTTGGACAAAGTTTTGCAATGTGTTGTTCAATACCATACTCTTAAATCTGGTTCTGCA